TTTAACTCTGATAATATTGCACTAATCAGTAGCGTAAACGCTACAAAAGGCTAGTTTAATATCAATCTATCCTTGTAAGAATGGTTGCGCTGAAAGGGCTTAAAGATGGTACTAAACGCACGCGAATATATCTTTTAAACAATCGTTTTTATTTTAACATTTTGTCTGTATTTTTGTTAGCTTATTTTGAAAATATGGGATTTTTTTTAAACTCGGATTTTTTTTCAAAACTAAGCGTTCTAAACTAGATAAACTTCCAGAATGTAATGTTTGTATATAAATAAAGTAAATCACTTTTAACAGTGGTTGGTTTAAAGATTTTTGTAAGGTCTGAGGAAAAAGTTTCTATAAGTTTTCCAAGAAACACTTATCGTTTTTCGGTTATACAACATTATATGTTTGTAGTTTTGTATTCGATGAATAAAACTCTACCTTCGAGGAGCTGTAACTTTGTTAATATTAATGTTACGGTAATAATAAAAAAGTAATCCCTTTGTTTTATAAACTTCATTTTATACCTTAATTTTTTTATTTATTCACGAAAAACCGTTTAAAACATGCTTTTTTTATGTGTAATTTGTGAACTTTCTGTCACAAAAACTCCGAAAATATTGACTTTTCGTAAAAAACTCCAAAGAACATTTTTGTATTTAAATTCACGGTTTCACCGACTACCATGGTTTTTTTTTAATAAAATTTTTTCCATCATAGTTTGTTAACAGACAACAATAGAAAAACCTATTTTATTGATATAAAATTAGTTGGTTTAAGTCTTATTAAATTTATTTTTAAATAATACGACAAAGCTAATTATCTAGTTAACAACGAAATTATTTCTGATAACAATTTAGTAGCGTATACTCCGAAATTTTTAACTAATAAAAAAGGTGTATTAAGGAATGTAGATACATATTTTTGTAAGAACCTTCTTCCTATCGTCCGATAAGCTTATTACCCTTAATGTCCAGAATATTTGAAAGACTCCTGCTAAATAGAATAAGCGAAACTGTACCACTCGAGGACATAATATCCAAAAATTAGTTTGGTTTCCGTCAAAAATATTCAACAATCCAACAGTCTCATAGAATGGTAAATAAAATTAAGAAAAGTTTGGAAGAAAAGACTATGTTTGCCTCAGTATTTCTCAATATTCAGCAGGCTTTTGATAAAGTCTGGCACAACGGTTTGCTATATAAATTACAATCTTAACGACCTAGCGTAATGTACCTCATCCTGAAGTCCTATATTAACGAACGTTCGTTCCAAGTAAAAATCAATAATGATTTCTCAACCTATCACTCAATCCAATTCGGAGTTCCTTATGGAAGTGTTCTCGGTCCCTTCCTATACCTAATCTTTTCTGCTGACATACCTATTACAGATGATGTCATAGTGGCGACTTTTGCCAATAATACAGGTGTTTTAGTTTCAAACCAAGACCCAGACATATTCTTCTTCCTATGCCGTCCCCATTAACGGATGTTGTCGACCACATTTCTAAAATGTCTGTCTTTTGCAACGTGGAATAATTCGTCTACAGTCATGTTTATCCAGACCCAGACATAGCATCCAAAAAGCTGCAAAATGACTTGTATACATTAGATAATTGGTTGACAAATTGGAAAATTAAGGTCAATAACGAAAAATCTGCTCAAATCACATTTACAACAAGAACATGCACTTGTTCACAAGTTAGTCCTCCACTCCTGCTGGAGACGTTGTGAAATATCTTGGGAAAAAACTCAGCTCAATATAAAACTAAAACAAATAAAATGGTTACTTGGCAGAAAATCACAACTGTCATTGGAGAACAAAATACTGCTTTACGAAGTCATACGAAAACCAGTATGGACTGGAGTTTACATGTTCGTTCCAGATTTTTTTCTGGTTTTTATCCACCTGTTAATATTCTGAATTTTGCGTTGTTGGTTTGTATGTCTCTTAATGATATGCCCGCTATTGATCTTAATACTTTCCTTTCGATATTGTTGATTTGTTGTTTCGTCTTTATTGTATCGGTCCTTGTCTCCGCTGCATATGTTAGGATTGGTCTTACTGTTGTCTTGTATACTTTCAGTTTGCTTTCCGTGGTCAGATATTTGTTTCTCCATATGGTTTCTCGGAGGCAACCACTTACTTTTGTCGCTTTTGATGCTTGTCTTGTGGTCTCTGTTCTTATATCTCTGTCACTATTGATCTCTACTCCTAGTTAATTGAATTTCATTACTTGTTCTACAATTTGCCGTCTATTTCTAGTTTGCATCTACGCGGCTATTTACTGATCATTATACATTTAGTTTTTTCTACTGATATTCTCATATTAAGTTTGTTTGCTGTGATATTGAAGGTGTGGAGCTGCCTTTGTAAGTCATAATTGCATATGGCAATAATTGTAAGGCATAGTCGATTAACGTTCTGTAAATCGTATATTCGTTCAATCATTGAGTAAGTATGGGTTCTTTTTATACGGTTCATCGTCAAAATCTAATTTACCAAAAATCGATAAAGGCAACACGTATACGCATTAGTGCGTATATAATCCCCATGTTCTGTAATTTTAGCAGAAGCGCGGGAACCTCCTCTAAGCATTGGAAGAGAATTCTTGTTGAATAAGTTTCTAATAAATAACAGGACTTGCGACTCACATAACTTAATAAAAAAATAACATTCTCATCGAATAAAACTTAATTCAAATTCTTACTGGAGAATTTAAACCTTTCCACCTCTTACATAGGTTTACCTAGAAACTAACACCTTTAGAATTTTATCACTAGACAAGTATCACCCATATAGTAGTAGGTATAATCTTTTCATTGAGGAAATTGCAATGTTTCCAAAGATAATAAAACCGTGTGACTTGCATGATTTATGACTCAAAAATACAGTAGACATAGCCCGATACTAGGCAGAAAAATTGTAGTCGGATTCAGGCTCGAAAAAGTAAAGTAAGATAGCTTTGGCAAAGTGATTGAAGATGCTTAGCGATGATATAGCCATGAGTATGTTTAGTGTGATCAGGTTGTAATCTGCTGATGAGTAATTGATCGTGACGTTTTAATGAAGTCGCGAGTTGTTTTAAAGGTGGTTTTAAAGGTTTTAAACACATACTACTTAATCTGCTATCTCGTTACCTTTAATGCCTACTTGAGTTGTATCCCATATAAATTTAACAGTTTTACCAGAAGCTTGAACCTGATAAAGAGTCTTTGACGTATACTATAGGCACTCTGGTACTTATCAGATAATATTTTTAAAATGGACTCCAGTCTATTTTGATATGATCTAGACCATAGATAAATAATATAGTATATAGATATTCTAGATAGATGGATTTAGCGAGATGCCTTTTGGCCTATTCTACTGCTGCGACCTTTTCAAAACTATTGTGGTCCTTTAGCCCTAAATAATATTCTCTAGCCTCATTTTTTAAAAGGTCTAATAACTTCTAGATTGAACCTTTCATGTTGCAGTTTTCCAGTGGCTTTTCTTTGCCTAAAGGTTAAATTCCGAAAGTGGCTGCAGACTGCAGACCGCCAACCGCAGACTGCAGCGACAGTGTCGTCTGCGGTCAGATCAATTCCGAACAGAACTGCACTGCATCTTCAAAACAGCGACAACAGCATTACACGATGGGAATTTATAATAGTATAATATTAAAAGTCGTATAAGTAGGATGTCAGACGCAATGAACAACGATGAATTAATGTTATATCTTTTGATGGAAGAAGAAGATGACGACGATCTTTTACTTTTACATTATAAAAAAAAGGAAACCGACTAGGTCTCTATTTAAAAATAGACAATTTGATGGAAGTTATTCAATACTCATTAAAAATCATCTATGGCTAACGAAGACATATTCAGAAACAGCAAAAATACGTGTTGTCACTCTGCGGTCGGCGACACTACTGGTTCTGGTGCAGTCCTGCGGTTTGCGGTGGCGACGTTCTGCTTGCGGTGGCGGCAGTGTCGATCTACTCGACATACAGCTCATAAGAAACCATATGAACCAGTAGGTCTGTCTCTGCGGTCTGCAGTTTGCAGTTTGCAGTTTGCGGTCGTGTTCGGAATCGTACCCGCATATTTGCCAGGTTGTCATGTTGACATATAATGATTTTACATTAATTAGAGCTGAAAAAAATTACATATAAGCCTATTCTTGTATAACATGTTATTATGTACACAGAATACTTCACCCAACAAGAAGCAAAAGCTTTGTCGGCACCTTTGATGTTCGTAGGACAAAATTTCGGGGTGAGAACGACAGTTAAACTACTTAGCACACTGAAAAGTATTGAGGTGCTGTAGTAAAATTATAGTTACACTAAGAAACGAAGTAATCATTAAAACTCATGTTTTTTAAGTAGATCTGTTTTGTATAAATTGTATTTTTTTAAGTGTACTTAACTAAAATATTAAGAAATTTGTGACAAGCTACGACAGAACTGTAATTTGAATTTTTAGAAATTAATAATTTAGTACCTACTTATATTTGAAATAATTTAATCTATCCTTCAACTAAAAGTACAAATAAAATAGTGCATATTATGTCTGTAGTTGTCATAAATAAATTAAACCGGATTAATTTGTCTATGCACATCAGATAAAATGTCACTGAACAGCATTGGTTTCGTTTAAAACATGGCTGATTCCGTCTGCGTAAACGAGATGCGCGTACATACTTATTTTTTCTAGCAGAGTGGGCATTCTGATTATTTATTATTCTGTGCCTATTTGTTTATCAGACTTAGATGAGTACCCACAAACAACACAATAAAATTCTCCTTTTCGTGCAGTCATCACAATGAGTTTATTACAAAAATATGTATAACAATCTTATTCTTTTTTTACTATTAAACAACACACACAAAACAACTTGACCGATAAACTATTTAGAACATGGCGGATTGTCACAGAAATTTGGATTGCGAAAAAGCTCTTTGTTTCGCTTCTTGTTGGATGATGTATTCTGTGTTATGTATATAATACCTATGTCTAAAGAAATTTGTTTAGAAATCACTGTGCAAATGTCAAACTGTCATTAACAAAAGATCAAAATATATTATGTCATAATTATTTTCTGTGAGATACTAAATATTTTGTGCAGAAATGAAGCACGAACACCTTTTAAGAAGTAAATTAAATGCTACAAACCATCGACCTAGAGAATGTGTTTCAGAAAGTAGCTTTTTAAGTGATAATTTTTGCTCTATTATTTTGGGAAAACCTGGTACTAATTTAATGAAGAAAAAAATTCTTGCTGTTGGTGAGGCAGATTTTAATAAGATCTTGAATAATAGGGATGCGAGTTTACGTCAACAGCAAGGTATCTGATTTTTTTGAATTTGTAGCACGTTGTTATGACTTTTATTTATTATTTATTACTTATTTTTACCTTTTAGACAGATTTGTTCTTTAAGATGTTTATTCGTGTATCTCCGGTATGCATTTTGATATATAGGAATCTTTTATAAGTATTCTTCGATGTTATCTAGATTTTGTTTTTTTGGCCTTTTTTTCGCCTTTTTATTAGTTGCCGTAACTGTCAGTTTCAGCCTCGATTTAAAGTTAAATCTTCTTCAGATACCATCATTTGTCCAAACCGGCGTCATACTCAAATTCTGTCGCTCTGATAAGACTTACTAAGGTCGGTGGCAGAACAACGGCTTACAGAGGATGAGGTTGGAAGTCCGAAGCCTATTTAATAAAGCCAAAAGTAACCAAGATAGGGATGTCTCCAGGTATAAGCTAACGCTATACAATAAAGAAATCCGGAAAGCTAAAAGGAATTAATGCAGAGAGTTTTGCGAGGAGATTACAGATATCCCGGCATGTTCTAGAATCCATAAAGTCCTGGCATAGGATGGTGCTACAACGAAAGAAGTAGGTTTCCTAAAGAAAGCTCATAAAACAACTCCTACTACATCGTTGGAAGTCCTGCTGAATTTACCACTGCTTCATATCTTTATACAGGGCGAAGCCAGATCAGTGATGCACAGATTAATCCATAGTCAGCGACATATAATCCAGATCCATGGTACTGACAACAGAAAGCTAATCGAGGAGATAAAAGCCGATATTGTGATGGGGAAACCTATCGATGCAACAGCTACCAGATATAGCTTTAAAAATAAATTCACAATTAAGATAACAGTCAGGGAAAACTGGAATAAAGGTGCACCCATCAAAGCTGCTGCTACCTGGTACACGGATGGTTCAAAAACATCGGAGGGTTAGAGCCGGCATAGTAGGGACAAATCAAGGGATACATTTCCCGGTAAGTCTATCTAAGTATGTGACAGTTTTCCAGGCGAAAATAACTGCAATCCATTACTGCGTGGAAGAAATAGAAAGGCAGGAAAGAACGTTCTGTTCAGTTGCCATCTTCACAGATAGTCAGGCAGCGCTTAAGGCACTCAATTTTGTAGAGGTCAATTCTAAGCTAGTATGGGATTGCGTCTGTGCCCTAAATAAACTAGGAGACCGTAGCAAGGTAACGGTAGCCTGGGTATCTTGGCACGAGGGTCATAAGGGCAATGAAAAATGCACAAGATGAAATGGCCCAACAAAGCTCACCAATGCCATTCATTAGACCAAAACCCTTCTGCGGCGTTACAAAGTCAGTAACAAGAACGGCTACAAAGAAGTGGGTAGCTCACAAATCTCTGGAATGGTGGAGGAATTTACCAGGACAAAGACAGACGAAACAGTTAATTGCAGAACATTCGCCAAAATTTACGGCAGACCTAATTAGCAAAGACAGGAAAACAGTCAAAGCCATAGTAGGTCTTCTAACAGGGCACTGTAAGCTGAATAGGCACTTGAAGCTAATGGCATATTAAGATGATGACCTGTGCAGATTCTGTCACCTCGAAGAAGAAACAGCAGAGCACATTTTATCTCAGTGTGACAGTCTGGCAAATGTGCGGTTTTTTGCATTAGAAGAAGAAAATCCACCCGCAAATAGCTACATGGAAGGTACAGTCTCGAAGCTACTAGACTTTATAAAGAGGACCACAATAGATCTGAAAAGGTCGCAGTCGAAAGGCCACCTCTCTTAATCTAATCTAAGGTCGATGGCAGAAACCCTGCATTAAAATTAAATCTCAAACGTGTTTCTGTTTTATTTTAAATATATATTTATTTACGTTAAACTTGTGTTTACTAAATTTGGTGTCTAGTAAAGCTACCCGTCACAGACTCAAGCAAGCAAGCAATAGTTTAACTCAGCCAGAGACTTACATACCCCTTAAGTATGGCATTAGGGTGAAACAATTTATTGGAGCGAGGAGGATTAACTCGTATAAACAGGAATCACTCCACCTGCTCCAACGCTCCAGACCATCTATTTATCCCAGATAGCGCTATGATACGCTATAGAGATTCTCTTATCAGCAAAGTGCTTGAAATGTGGGAGTCCTGTTTACAAGGCCTCCCATACGAAATCCTACCCCGAACAAGGCAGGCCAGCGTAAGGTGCTCTATTCCTGCTATCTCTAGTGACGTATCATCGATCTGTATTGCTTGATCGGGCCTTGAGTCCCCGCCCTGGTGTTTTCGGTTTTGTTAGTATTTTTTGTGGCTTGTGCCTTTTGTTATCGTTTTATTATTTTTTTTTGGTGACCAAAGCCGTTTTTTGTGTTTTTTTTTGTAGATTTTTTTTAAAGTTATTTAAAAAATATAAAATCAAAATTAGTATATACACTGCCATATCTAAGATGAGTGCGTTTTCTTCTGTTGAATAGAGCTACGGTTATCTAGAGTTTATCACACGTTTGGTAATTTGCTATTTGGGTCTTCTGTACTTTCATCTATGGTACACATTATACCTTAATATCTCTTGCAGGATCCGGTTTGGGTGGTATTCTGCAAATTTTGCAAATTCTCTTTTGACTTTTTCGTCAATCATATCCTTATTTGTATTAGGTATCTTAATAGGAACCGTTCAGCGAAGTATTTGGACACATTTGCAGCTTCTCTAAGGCGGTTGTCGTGTGCTGCTTGAATCTTCTTTTTATTGCTGTGACTTGTGTGTCATATATATATATATATATATATATATATATATATATATATATATACATATATATATATATAAGAGATGCATTCGTAATTATTGGTAGTATAATGCCGTTTATCAGTCTTAATTTTGTTTATATAGCTTTACTTATTCTTCCTGTGAATCTTCACGGCTATTGGCCTTTGCTGTTTTTGGACTCTCGCGTTATGTGGTGTGAACATAGGCCTTGGTCCATTGTAACTCCTAGGTATTTAGAACAGTTAGTTAGTTTGAACTACAAATATTTGAATTTATATTTTTTTAAATTCTTGGGGTGCTGGGGGCATGGTTCCCCATGGCCCCTTCTCTGGATCCGCACTTGTCTCCAATAATACTTTTAGTAATGAAGAAATGATCCGAATAAGTAACATTTGTAAATATATATGATATCATTTAAAAAAATTAGATTTTCTTCTATTTGAATATAATTTTATAAATCCAATTCCCATTATACTAAACTTAAAATATTCATATTATTACTTACTACCTTATCGTTAATTATATTTTAGTTCTAATATGTGATGTTGAACATGTTAGTGATACAAAATCCTCCAAACCAAACGATGATCTTTCGCCTATAAAGAATAAAGTAATCATTGAAAAAAATAAAAAAATAAAAGGTATAATTGATTCTTCTGGTGTAAATAACTCAAATAACTATAACCAGAAGACTTTAAATAGAGGTTTAAAAACTAAAAAAGAACGTAAACATAGAGACTTAGTTAAAGATGGTTCAAAATTTCAAAATGTTAATGACATGCAAAACGATACACGCAAAAATGATAATAATAATAACAATAAATATTCTGAAATCGATCGTTTAAAATATACAAGAATTGAAGAATCGTATGAACCACTTATAAATGATTCACATGGTCACCCTAATTTAGTAAAACCAATATCTGGAACTGAAACCAGAGATATAGAATCCGATTTGAATGTTCGAAATACCCTAACTTCTCAAATGACTAGATTAAATAATTCCCACGCTGAAGTAATTGTTCCAGACAAAATCATCCACTCTAAAGAGCAATTTGGAAATAATGAAATTTTGTCTGATAATGATTTAAATCAATATATTGACCAAGATAAGTCTAAAAAAAGGAGTTATGAAAATAATTTGACAGAAAAAACAGATATAGAAAAAGTCCGTAAAGAAGTTACATTATTACGATCCCAACCTCCTTTACATGATTCTTTAATAAATACATACGAGTAAGTATATAGTTTTATTCCAATGCTTAGCGTTTTAACCTTCAAATTAAACCTAAACATGCCTTCAATAGTTTAGTTTAGCAATACCTTAAATGAGTATTGTAATGTTTATTTGAATTTATTTAAAGTCTTCTAACACTAACACCAAAACACAAATAATTTATTATATTTATTTACTTATATATAAACCCAGTATTTAGGCGACACGCGCCCTTCCGGAAGGAATCTATAGAGTAGTATCACCGAGTCGCAAGCCCATTCACCATAGGCCGATCAGACACCAGCATATTCTAATCTAAGCCGCAGATTCATTTAGAATTTTAAACTGCTGCTTTAGCCTTTTTGTTTCCTGTACACCAAGATGGGGATCGAACTCACATCTGCTGACCCACTCGCAGTGAAGCGAATGAGAATCCGGCCGCCCAGCCCGCTTGGCTATCTGACCGACATATTTATTTACTTAACCGTACAAATTTATATTCTAAATTGACTTCTACAATCTTATTTACCTTTATATATAGCTTTTGTCGTTCCGGAACCAAATTAAAGTTTCTTGTCGGCCTTAGATAGCTGTGGATCGATTTGTCGTGCCGCGAAAGTTAGATCAGAGCGTAACAAGGTTAGGGTAACATTGCCTTCACCTTGAGAGATGGTTGCTTCTGGAACCTTGTCTAGACTCGAACTGGATGTTATTGTCGGCAACTGGACCCTCTTTTTCAAGTCCCAGTTGTATAAAGGTGCCAAGGGATGGCTTTTGCTTCACATCAATAACCATGCAGATTGCGACAGACTAGTACCTGGACTACGGTGTCCTTTCGATCACCGTATTTCTAACAAACCTCTATTAAAATTAACGGCATTCTACTTTTAGCATGGCTAATTTGTGTACGTTGGACTCCAGCTAAATGGAACTAATGTTTCTCATACTTTTCTCTTTTGTTATTAGACATAAAAGCTAACGTAATGCATCTTGAAGTTTTAACGCTTTTTTTAACTTAACGTAAGTTTTTAAACTTTCTTTGAAAGATAAATGCCAATCTTTGTGCGTCTTTAATACTAACCGGAATGGTATTAGCCAGTAATTAGATACTTTAAAGTGTGAGTAGATCTGCTTTTCTTTAGTGGTAACACCACGTCTTACCTTACTGGTACCTCCATATTCCATCATGAATTCTTCAAACGTAAAGTCAGATACTGATTCTTAGACTGAGTATACTTTCCCTTCTTCGTTTATGTCGTGGTCTCCTTTAAATGGCGCCTCCCAGTTACGGTGTAATTTAATCGGTTTTCCCTTCGGAATCTTCTTATTCGGTAGATGATATGGGTCATTATTTTAAAAACATCACTTTGCGGCTTGGGTATCGTACCGTTTCTTCATTTTATCACAAGCGATCTAAAGATGAGAACGGTCCAACTCGTGTATATCGTCCACTTTTCTTAGTAATTCGTTCAAATAATCTCCACGTCGATAGCCAAACTCTAGATCACAAGGTAGTCACATCTCGCGTCCAAATAGGACTTTTGTTTCTTAATTTATTAACAGTGGATCTATGGACCATTACAGATATCGGAAGTTCCTGGTCATAGTCTCGCTGGTAGATGGACGCCATTTTTGCCAAATACTTGCGAACTGTCTTATTTATTCGCTCTACCATTCCAGTAAGCTCTAACCAGTTCTTGTTTGATTTTATGCCTAGTCTATCGCATATTTCTGAAATAGATTGCTCTCGAAGTTCCGTCCTTGATCACTATGGATCTCCAAAGGCCATGTACTTTTTTGTCAAGATATCGGCAATAGTGGTGGAGTTCTGGTCTAGAATTGCGTAGATCTCGACTCACTTCGTGAAGTAATCCATCACAAACAACATGCACTTACAACCATTTTCACTTTCTGGTAATGGCCCAGCAATGCTCCAGGCTATTCTTTCAAATAGACTTCCAACATTGTATTGTCTCATAGGAGCCTTTTTTAGATAACGTCCGTGATTTGTGGTATACATAGTACATATCTTACACCAGTCCTTTACATCTTCGGAACTACTACACCGAAGTTCCTAATGAACTGTCGTGTAATTCGAATTTTGTATAAAAATGGATCTTTCCCTTGTTCTTCTCTAATCATATTAGGCGTCCACTCGTCGTTGATTATCGTTATTCTTAGCACCGCTGCTTCCTTGGATTCCGCTTTGTCATAGTAACATTCTGCTCGGCACGGTCTTGTAGAGGGAGAATAACTGTCACTGTGGCTAACTCCGGCCTATGCTTACTCTTGAAATCGTGTTCTTGGAATCGTTCAATCCATCTGGCTATCTGTCCTCTGGATTCCGTAACTGCATTAACCACTTAAGTGGGCATGGTCGGTTCAAATTAAATACTTGCTTCCATAAAGATATTCGTAATACTGGTTTCACTATTGCTAGAAGTTCTCTTCTCGTGGCGCAATAATTTCGCCCAGGTTTTGAAAGCACCTTACTAAAATATCCAGACTTGTTTCTGTCATCCTTGGATCTGAGACAGCACTCTTTCAATCCCAACAGTAGTTGAATCTATATCTAAGATAAAGTCTCATTTTAGCAGTAATACTTGTGCTATAATTAAATGCATTTTTAAGATTTCAAAGGCAATTCGGCAGTCTCCATGCAGCAATAATCTCTTGATTCCTCTGTATGTCGCGTTAATGGCTTAGCGATATCTGCAAACTTTCTAATGAACCTCCCATAGTAAGTAGATAGCCCACGAAAACTTCTCACTTAATTTTTTAAGTCGGTTTTGGTCATTACTTAATGGAATCGATTTTTCCTTATTCATAATCACTTCTTGGCTAAATGTATGACCCAGATAATTAACTTTACTTTGAAACAGCTGACACTTATTAGAGTTTAACAACAACTGAGCAGCTTTAAGTCGATTAAAAACATCTTTAAAATTCATGGGATGGTCTTCAAAAGTTTCTCTTAAGACAATTATGACGTCTAAATACACCAGGCATGTTTTTTAAGATAACGACCTCAACACGTTTCCCATAAGTCTTCGCAGGATAATTATAAAGCCCAAATGGCATAACGTTTATTTAACGTCTACTAACACTAAAACTAAAGCACAAATAATTTATAGTATTTATTTATTTAACCGTACAAATTTATATTCTAAACTTCTTTTATTAGATTTTTATTAAATTCATACTCTGACTTCTACAACCTAATTTATCTTCAAATATGGTCACTTCAATCGTTTCTCAACTCCATGGAAGTTTCTCTGCGGCGTTAGACAGCTATAGATACAATATTTGCACTACAAAGGTTCAATCAGGGGCGCAGCAAGGCCGGCGTAACAGGATTTTTATTTTTTGTCTAATATTTTAGAGTTGAAGGTAAACACACTGACTATGTATAAATCATGCGTGGAGTGAGGCAAGGCTGTATTTTGTCTTCTTTAATCTTCAATCTGTACTGAAAGAATATTTATCGTAGCTTTACACGAAACTGAAAAAGGTATTCTACTAAATGGTTACTGGTTAAACAACATCAGATATGTAGATGACACTCTAGTATTTGCGGACAACTTAGAAGACATACGAGTTCTTATGAACAAAATCACGTATTACAGTCAACAATATGGACTCAATATAAACATTAAGAAGATAAAGCTTATGATAATTAGCAAGAAAAGGATAACAGAAGGTCAACTCTACGTCAACCAATCTCCTGTAGAAAGAGTGACGCACTACAACTACCTCGGCCCCATAATAAATTAAGAATGGACCAACAACTAGGAGATTATAGCACGCATCGGAAAAGCTAGATTCAATCGGATGGGAGCCTTCTTCAAGAGTCATAACCTCTCTCTTGATATAAAAGTAAGAATGCTGCGATGCTACGTCTTTTCTGTCTTTTTTATGGTGTTGAATCATGGACCTTGAACGAAGATATGTGCAAATAACTGGAAGCATTTGAGATGTGGCTATATTGGAGAATACTTAAGATCCCGTGGACTGTCCGAGTTATAACTATGGAGGTCCTCAGAAGAATGAATAAGAACAGAGAGGTACTAACTACCATTAAATCTCGAAAGTTACAATTCTTTGGACATATTATGCTTTGCTTCAACCCATCCTGAAGGCAAAAATATTTGGAAAGCGAGGTCCAATAAGAAGAAGAACACCTTGGTTAAAAAACCTTAGAATCTGGTTCAATACAACATCTGTGCAACTTTTTCGCGCTGCTGCAGATAGATAAAGATTGCCATAATGATCGCCAACATTCGTAACGGATAGGCACATCAAGAAGATCTAACATTTAAAAAATACAATGAAATAAGAATTGATGTAGAAACCCTTCATAATTGGGTAATATGATTTAAACATGATTTTGCTCTGTTAAACATATGATGATGATAATGCAAACTGCATTAAGCAAATGATGGGTTTCAGAAATATATAATAATAATATACTGCATATTTATTTCAAAAAAATTATTTAAAATCCTTTATAAAAGGTATATAATAAAATGCCTAAACGGGCTATCACAAAAATATTACAAAACGTTTTCGGATTGTTAAATCCATCATCAGTGCAAAGGAGGTATACATGCTATGAGCCACCAAAATATATGGGTCAAAACCCTTTAAATGATACAAATTTACAGTTGCTTTACATTATAAGTGGTTACAAATTATGATGTTGAAGTTACCGTTGGAATTGGTAACATGGCGACGTATGACCCTACATAGGTAAAATGGTCCTGAGACGAAGTGTCTTTGAGGACCTGTTGATAGAAGAGTCTGTCTATCGACAGACTGGCATCATAGCCGCCATTCTATGACGTATATCAGCTCTCTGACCCAAGTGGCGTGTAGGTACTCTGCTTTGGGATGCTCTGTTTAGATGTGTTTACATGTAGTGGTTATAGGAACAGGTATTGAAAATTTTCTACCACTGTCGGCGATTGGTCTGAGGTTCTATGGAGGAGAGTGAAGACAAGAGAAGAGATAACTTCTTCTTCTTCCTCTTCTTCTTTTTATATAGACATGACTCTGTCTGTTTTTCAATATGCCTCCAGTAAGTTGTCATTCCATCGTTTTCGTGGTATTTCTACTGATCGTCTTCTTATTGACGAACCGTCTCTTGCCGTCTTTACTACTCTATTTGTTGCCATTCGGCTTATATGATCGTTCCATTCTACTCTTCTATTTCTTACCCAGTTTTTGATGTTCTCCACCTTGCATCTATGTTGTATATCTGTACTTCTAGCTTTGTCCCATAGTGTCTTACCATCAATTTTTCTCTGTGTTTTTATCTCTGCTATTTCTAACATCTTTTTTGTTCTGTCTGTGTCAGGTCCTATTTCTGCCGCGTATGTTATTATTGGTTTAATGACTGTTTTGTAAATTCTGCCTTTCGTTTCTTTCCCTATATTTTTATTTCTCCATACTGTTTCATTTAGGCAGCCTGCGGCTCTGTTTGCTCTATTCGCTTAATCTTTAACTTCGGTTTCGAGCTTTTCGTAGCTAGATAATGTGATGCCTAGATATTTAAACTCCATCACTTGTTCTATTATCTGACCTTTCAGCTCCAATTTACATCTTAGTAAATTTGCTGTTGTAACCATGCATTTTGTCTTTGTTGGGGAAATTAACTTGTTAAATTTTTTGGCGGTTATATTAAATTGATGTAGCATACGTTGTGAATTGCCTTTACTTTGAAAGAGTAGTATTGCGTCGTCTTCATAGCAGATTATTTTAAGTTGTTTTCTCCCATTTGGTATTATTTTTTTGTTCTTACTTTTTTTATTATTTCATCCATAATCAGGTTGAACAATAGAGGACTCAGGGAATCTCCCTGTCTTATATCATTTCCAGCTTCAATAGGGTCTGTTTGTTCTTCTCCTACTTTTACTTTTATTGTGTTGTTTTGGTAGATATTTTCGATCGTTTTGATTATTCCTAGGGGTATCTCTTTTACATACAATAAGTGGATAACGTCTTTTAATTTGACCCAGTCAAATGCCTTTGTAAGGTCCACGAAATATAGATATGCCGGTTTGTTGTATTCTAATGATTTCTCTTGCACTTGTCTCATTATAAATATAGGGTCGGTGCATGATCTTTCCGACCTAAAACCTTGTTGTTCTTCTGCTAGTTTTATAATTTCATTGAATTTATTTGTTATCACTTTGGTTGTTAATTTTAGTGTTGTATTTAATAAATTAATTCCTCTGTAATTTTCCGGGTCCGATTTGTCTGCCTTTTTGAAGAGAGGTATTAGGATGCTTGATCTCAATTCTTGAGGAATTCTGTTTTGTTCTATTATTTTTTGAATTAGTTTTAATAGTTGTTTGGTCAGATCTGGTCCTCCGTACTTTAGGAGTTTGTTCGGTATTCTGTCCTCTCCTGGTGGTTTTCGTTTTTTTAATTTCCTTAATGCTTCCTTTACTTCTTCCTCCGCAATATTTATTTCTTTATTTGTCGTCACCTCTGGTGTTGGTGGTTCATCTTCGTCATCTTTAGCAAACAGGGATCGAAAGTAATCTACCCATGTTTCCTTCTAAATGTGTTCCGTTTTTATTATTTCTGTTATCTTTTTTCTTTGTCTTTTGATATTTCTCCATATTTCTTTTTGTGTTCCGTAGAAATTCTGTTACATCTGTTTTGAAAAAGTGTTCCCTTTTTATTTGTTTAACTAAATTATTCGTTTCATTTCTGATTTGTTTATAGTGGTTTTATACCTGTTCTGTTGGTTGTGTTCTGTATTGTAAAAAGGCTTTCTTCTTTTCCTAGCATTTTGTCTTCACTTCCTCTCTAAACCATGGCGTTTTCTTTTTTTGATATGTTAGTGTTCGTTACTTTCCTCTCTACGAGTGATTCTGAGAAGAGATAAGTTAAATACAGCAGTGGTTATTTTCACCACCTTTTTATCAATTTACTAACTCTACTTCTGTAAACGTGTTGAGGGCATTATGTGGCTATTATCTCTCTAAAAACAGTTATAATTACGCAATTTGGAAAGCACAGAAAACCATGTGCAAAACCTAAAAGTGAGCTATTTGTTTAGGACAATAAAAAAGAGTAATTGTTTTCAAGATGGGGGTAAGGGAGTTCGTTACTGGCTTACTGCATTAAGTTAGTTGGAAGGAAGGTAAGTTTCATTTCATGGTGTCTAACGAATAGTAGTTTGACTAATAAGTAATTAATTTGACTTTAAGGATTTTTAGAATGCAACTCCTGCTAAGAAAGGAAGGAGTCTCAAGTATGTTTGGGAAGTTCAATAGTTAACGTATTAAGGCGGAGTGGAAATCTCATTTTTGTACTCAATCATGGGCCGTATGTACGTTTATATGAATGAATAAGTCTTGCGCTTATTTGGCTTACCTCAAAAACCGTTAACTAGCGAACAAAAGACTTAGTTATTAAACAATGAACAATTGACCATGAATATCGTTTCACGGAAAATGGATATCTGCGGGTAGTTATGATGTCTAAACGTTGCGTGGCGCAATATAATCAAAATGCAGACCTTCTTTGTAATAAGTTAATTGTTAGTTAGAAAAAATTATATATTAATTTTTTTCTTTCTCTCACCGCCGGTTCAGATACCACACATAAAATTACTTTTAAATATACTTTTGCATTTTACACATAAAGAAAAAGTGTCTCCATTTTCGTGCGATTTGTCTGATATAAATTGTAACATAGTTATTAGGGATGACGGTTTTTGACAAAACACCGGTTTTCGGTTATACCGGTGTTTTTGCTTATGGTTTAACCTGGCGGTTATAACCGGCCAAAATAAAACGGTTTTTTAAAAAACCGGTTTTTGGGTTTTTTAATCCAATAGGTTACAAAGTTACATTTAGAATGCACTTTAGTTTGCGATACTTCATTCGAATTGATATCAATATGATCAAAATTAGTACTATCGAAAGAACATCAATATCAATATAAATTAAACACAATTTTTAATAAAACTATTTTATTCTATTAATTATAATATTTATTTATTATTTTAATATTATATATTTATTAATTATTATTAAATATAATATAGCGTAAGATTAATATATACATTAATATACATATTGCAATAATATACAATAAAAGTATAATATAAGTAGAATGAAGTAATGTTTTAAGTAAAAAGTATAGGTTAAAAGGTCACAAATAGGTCGGTCGGTTAAGCGGCTTCTCTCATCTGACACAATATACATTCAATGATGACTCCAGTATCTCTGATGCATCTGATGCCACCGAACTTCCGACCAACGAAAAAACGAAAACTTAATTGTTTCTGGCTGATGTTATTTAGCTTTTTCAGTTAGCTTCTGTATTAATAAAATAAAATAAAATTTGAATTATGGTTTAATTTGAATTATAATAATTACTTGAGAATAATAATTATGATTGGGATCCAAAATAATACCTAACCTAATCCTAATCACCGTAAAAACCTAATAACCGGTTTTTACATAAAAATAAAAAACCCGTATGACCGGGACAAAAAAAAAATAGATAGAACCGACTATTGCGAAGTAAAAAAACCGGTTTTCGGTTAAAACCAGTAGGTTTTTCCCATCCCTAATAGTTATAAATCGCTTGTTTTAATAAGTCACAATAAGGATTTGTAACCTTATGGGTTATTTCAACCCATCAACCCTATGTGTGACAGATTAAAACAAGGTTTGCACATACCAGTTACTATATATTATTTTGTTTTTCATAAAAATAAATTAAATGTTTAAACACTGAAATTATTTCATTAATTTGATAGGCCTGTTGCATATAATGTGCCACCGACATTTAATAGTGTAGATGTTGAAAAGGAGTATCAAGGACAACAAATTAAGACGGATTCCCCGTATAACCAAGGTAATAACATCCTCTGACAATTTTTTTTTAATTCAGTATATGGTATTATACATTCTCTTTTATTAAGTGTCATCTTTCTCTCGTAGGTTGGCAATCATCAAACCACTTCTTTTTTAATTTGATTTTTCAAAATGTCTTAATTATTTAACTAGTATTCAGTATATAGAACAATTTTACAATTTTTTTTTATAAAAATAGCCTGGTTTTATATATCTTGCACTTAACCCTTTACTAGGCGCGCGACCTGCCCGAAAGCTGTTAGTCGAAGTAGGTCCAATAGACCTATGAATTAACTATTTAATTACTAGATTTTTAAAAATATTTTCCTCATTATTTTAATGTTACAACATAAATAAATGTATTTTATAAGGAAGTAAATAATTAAACAGATTTTGAATGCGTAATATTGTCCATATATGGAGAAAAACAAAAAAAACAAAACTATTTATGGAATTAATAAAAATATATTTAAAGTGAAAAAAAAAAACAACATTGATATATGTATTATATTTATTTACAGATTTCTCATATCTCATTTTAATATATATTAAAACATTCCTCGCACATTTTTTTAGTATGGAACCTCAAACATAAAAAATTGCTACACCTTTCACAAGAATATTGAGTTTTGCATTGTTTCTTCCTTTCTTTGTAACAAGCTGCACAGTGTTTTCTTTTACTTCGGTTTGAACTATTTGCTGCTCGATCCTTTTCATGCGTCTCTTCTTGATCAGGTTTATAAGGTTCTAAAAGAGTTTTCAGTTTAGTCGGTAAACTTTGTATTGTTGATCTCCTCTGTAAATGTGGAGTTACTAAACTTTTTGCCAAATTTTTCAAAAAGATCCGCTTCGTAATATACTCTGCCCCATTTTCCAAAAGAAATAATCATGGAGTTATTAATTCCGGCTATATTCAACAAGGGTAAAATATCATCATAGGCCATCTTCTCGTAGCTCGTGCTGTATCATAAGTGGCACATAATTGATCCGCAACGTCGACGCCTGATTTTGTTTTATTGTAAAATTGTATTATCTCCGGTTTCTTATCGGTGTCAGACGATACTTCTTAACTTGGAAGGAGTTCAGAAGTATCGTCTAACACCTACGAAGGACAATTTTTGTTTTTCCAGTTCTTTTACAAGGTACAAACTCGTAAACCATTTATCGGCAGTAATATTACTGCCTGTGCCAAAAACTGGTTCTGCCAACCTGCATACAATTGCATCTACAGAATTACTCTGCCTGTAAAGTCCTTCCGGTTCTTGCCCGCAATAAATTTCCATATTATAAGTATAAAAAAGTTTTGCATCACATAAAGGGAATATCTTGATTCCGTACTTGCTCGGTTTGGATGGTATGTACTGTCTAAATCCGCAACGTCCTCGGAATCCTAGCAGAATTTTATCAATTGTTGTGTTTTTTCCTAGCCTATAATATATCGTGCAATTTTCCAAAAAATAATTAAAAATATCTCTCACTGAAGCTAATTTATCTGTTGCTTGTCTTTGAGGCCGTGTGGTTTTTTCATCGAAACGGACACATCTTATAAGAAATCTAAATCTTCTTTCGGACATTGCCATTCTAAAAATATTTATACTAAAGCCATCAGCTGAAAAATAATCTGAAAGGTTTTGGTGACCACCTTTAAAAAGCCCTAACAAATACAGAAGGCCTAAAAATGCCTCAATTTCTATCCTATCTGTTTCTCTTTTCTTTTTTATCAAACCATTTATAAAAATATTTGTTTTCTCCACCAGTATAGACAATATTCGGTCATCAAAAAATAATCGCCAACAATCCAATTCACTTCTGACGCCTTTTGCGATTGGGCTTACAACACCTGGCAATTTTACTAAATTATTATGCGGAGGAGTTTGAGTATTCCCCAGGGCCTCTTCCTCCATTAGGTTCTATCTCGACCTGCAATAATAGCATAATTTATTGTTAACAATTTTTTTTTAATATTTTGAGATGAGAAATTGTATTTAGATAAAAAATATACTGCACGATTGTCACAATTTATATGTAATATACAAATTCGATAGGAATTTAAAAAAAATGAAGTGAAACATGAAACACTCTTTATATAATAGCAAAAAAGTTATTACATAACCTGACTTACCATTATAAAAGTTTACGTTTTGGCGCCGACCATGTCTTCTGTATCTACGTCGTCGATTTCATGATCGGAATCAGAATCCATCGACCTTGTCTCCTGTTGACGATTCATCTGATTAGACAAAATCTTCTTGGGGTAAAGTATTTGTGTCACATTCAACTTCTTCGAAAACAAGACGATTAATGTTACGTTTGGAATGTCCTACGATTAATTATCGCAAGAGACTCCTGGTTCGAAAGAATACAAAATTAAATTTCTATTACAAAAATTACTTTCGTATTAAAATACACAAATGTGACTTTAAAAGTTTTATTCAGTTTCCTTCGGTTCGGTGGTATAAATTCGACTAAAAACTAACTCTGAACAAATTGAATATATTCTTATACTATATGAAATTCAATACCCTACATTCTCAGACGAAAGTCATTAAAATTAATTGCTTTCACAAGCCCTTAGCCGGAGAGACGATACGCTGATTACAAAAGGGGATTTTTAAAATAAACATATTACTTAAGTATTAACTCGACATACTCCCACCTTGAGAAATTTAACATAATTTCTCAAAAAATAAGAGAGTTACAAAAAATAAAATCATGAAAATATTACTTAAATCTTAAAGGAGTTTTCACCATCCGGCCACAACGCGTATATCTTCCATTTAAGTCGGGTACTCTGCTTTTTATCACTCCCGCACTTTTTTCACTTGGTTCTTCCTCAAACTGGAGTTGACCAACGTTCTCTTGGGGTAACCTCTCTGGAACCGTCTGACTTCCACAAGGTAGAGTATTACCTTGGACATTCTCGCCAGTAGTAACTGCATCGACGATCTCCACCGGGTAAAGCCTTTGTAATGGTCTCAGAAGTTGCCCTTGTGCAGTCGCAAGACGAACTAATCTTACCTGGCCATCCCTACCAGGTATAAGTTCAATAACTTTACCTAAAGGCCACTGAAGACGCTTGATGTTGTCATTGCCGACTAAAACGACATCCCCGATAGACACTTTAGATACCTTCGGCTTCTTCGTTCCTGCTTTGAGTTGAGCCAGATATTCAGCACGAAATCTTTTTCGCAAATGATTTCTCAACTCTTGTAAACGTCGTATTTTGCGTGTGAGAGAATTCTGCTCTAGCAAATCACATTCCGGCAACTCGTAACTGACTTGTTCCTTTAAAAACATACTTGGGGTTAACGCGATTAACTCAGTAGAATCGTCCGAAAGATACGTCAACGGACGCGAGTTGACTATACTCTCACAATCACACAATAATGTCAATAAGTCTTCATAATTGAGAGACGCTCGACCTAAAACTTTTCGCAAAAGCCCTTTAACAATACCTACTAATCGTTCCCAAAATCCACCCCACCATGCAGCTGTAGGGGGGTTGAAACGCCACTTAATACGTTGTGTAGAACTATATTCCGCGATAGTATTCCAGTCCAATTGCTTAAGCGCATTCTCGAATCCCGTAAAATTTGTTCCATTGTCACTATAAACTATTCTCGGTCGTCCTCGCCTTGCAACAAAGCGACGAAAGGCTTGAATAAAAGCATTTGTTGACAACGAGGTAACGAGTTCCAGATGAACCGCACGATAAACGGCACAAGTGAACAAACAAATCCATGCTTTCTCTCCCGATTTCAAGTAAAGAGGTCCCGCTAAGTCCACTCCGGAAATTTCAAAAGCTGTAGTATCCCGAACTCTATCAGCCGGCAACGAAGGCGTTTGTACTTTGAACGATTTCCCTTCTTGTCTCTTGCACACACCACATTCTTTTAAAATGGACCGCACAATCCGTCTACCCCCTAAAGTCCAATATTTTTCGCGAAGCAAACTAAGTAGTCCTTGTGTGCCTACATGACAAGAGCTTTTATGCAGGCTTAAAATTAACTTACGCACTATAAAATGTTCACCCGGAAGTAAGATAGGCAGACGAAAATCTTCCGTGTCAAGTCTCTCAGTAACGCGAGTTTTTATACGTATAAGTCCAAATTCATCGACAAACGTGTTTAGCGAGGAAATTCGTTTCGTATCTGAATCGAACGCTTCGTTCTGCACTAGCTTCAATACAAATATTTCAGCTTGATCGATTTCCTCAGCGACCAATTCACCTGTACGTTTTTTGTGTGAATTTCTTGCATTATAACAAAATCGTAGCACCCAAGCTATCATTCTTAAAAGTTTTATGTACTGAGAAAAGTAATACAGATGCCAATCGTCAGATGTCATATTCAATAGTGACGAACTGGCATTTTTCTTTTTCTCTGTACAGACTTTTTCTTCATCAACTTCTAATTTTTGTTGGGGCCAATCATTTTCTTTTCTGTACAACCATTCCGGGCCCTCCCATCATCGAGAGTCGAACAATTGCCGAACACCACAGCCTCTTGATGGGAGATCGGCAGGATTGAGAGAACCAGGTACATATTTCCAACACTCAGGATTGACTAAATTTCTAATCTCTTGAACTCTAATAAAAACAAAAACAGACCAGTCATCCTTACGTTGAATCCAAGAAAGAACAGTAGTGGAATCACTCCAAAAATAAGACTCAACATATTGATAAAATTGCCTTTTTACTGACTGATAAAGTCTAACACCAATAGTGGCTGCCAACAGTTCCAATCTAGGTATAGAAATCTTCTTCAAAGGGGCCACACGACTCTTAGCTGCTACAAGGAAAATTGAGACAACATCATTCCGAACCACTCTCAAAAATATTACAGCCGCATAAGCTTTCTTACTTGCATCTGAAAATATGTGCAAGCTCCAATGATCAGCTTCCGTCGGTCCAGCCTCAATCCAGCGTGGAATCTCAATACTCGACAGTTCAGGAAGATGAGTAACCCAATCACAAAATTCTTCAGCCATATCATTCTCGAC